AGCGGCTCCGTCAGCAATCTATAATCCCCTTGAACATCAACCGGTCTAAACATCATTTTGTTCTTGCTGTTTTCCAAAAAAAGTACGATTTTTCTTAGAAATGACTGAAGTCTGTTGGGCCTAAAGTATGATGGGTGCGTAAATACCGTATCGTACTGGGTACGTCTGTTTCGGACCGTAAACGGAATCTTCCACTGACGAAGAAAGAAAACTAGGGGAGGGAGGATCGTAAAAAATAATCTCGGATATACTTCCTCGTAAGCTGGAGAATTCCTTTCTTATTTGGACGTCCTTGTTCGTCCGTCCCCCAAACAAATCCACTTTTGAGCCATCCCCCAAAGTTTATACCCTTGTAATTCATGGTACCAGTAATAATAATGCGATATGAGTATGTACCTGTTGTACGGCGGTGATACAAAAATTGAATAATAATGATTAAATAATACTACGAACCTCAAGATAGTCCTACCTCTCACATCCAGCCCTTTTGTTTAGTACAACTATGTTGCTGTACCAGCCCCTATGAACTAAAGCTATACTTTTGGGTGGCTTCCAAGTTTTCACAATCAAAGGCTACAGTAGACCAGTCATTGTGAGTCAAGCCATTTTCATTTGCCTCGGGGAAGTACCAATCCAATGCGCGCTCCGTATATATTGTCATTGCGGCATTCAGTCTGTTGCTTGTCAAAGGTGTGTATTCTGGAAGCCCAAGGAAAACTGTGAAATCATTGCGATCGAAGCAAAGCTCGTCAAGAACTCGGTTGGAAACGTAATCCATGATGCTCCTGAAATCAGTAGCTGGGATCTCCACATTGTAATCTTGTGTGTATGTTCTTCCTCCAAACACACTGTTGTAATCACAGTTCCATCCATCCTTTCTTTGCCTGTAGGTGTTCTCAAGTGTACCGAGAAGGATGGCTTGATTCGAGGCTATTTGATCTGCCAAGAATGCCGTGATTTGCTCCAAGCTATCATCAAGACCTTCAGAAGTTTCGTTCAGGAAATTGGAAACTAGAACCAAATCATCCACTGTCTTCGATAATTTGCCATTTTGCTCTTCAAAGATTTGGTTTTGTTGTTTCAAATCGGCCACCTTGAAGCCAAGTTCTTGACTTGTTTCTTGGAGTCGATTTGCTGTGTCATTTAGTGCTATATTAATGCCTTTCAGCTCACCCACAGTGGTATTTAGCTCATCATTCAACAATTCATATCTGTTGTATCAAAAGAAAATCATTTTATCAGCCAAGATCAGTTGCTTGTATTGAAATTTCTTCTCAAATGGTATCGGCAACGACCTACCTATTATTTTCCGCTGCAAGCCGGTCAACCTAACGTACAACAGTGGAAGGAGCTAGGGTGAGATTTCATGCTGTAGCAATCCAGGAAAAGCTGTAATGCCTTGAGTTCGGGCGTACCTCGCCTTCGAGTCTGTCGATTTGGGCCTCAAGACCTGGGATTTCGAACCATTCGAGAACAAAGTATGCTAGTCCACCAGCAAGGAATAGTCCTGTCCCTACAATCATCATGGATTTAACCCTGCTCATACCTAGGACTCCGCGTGACCTTGACCTCTCGTTGACGTCAATGGTGATAGTCTGTGGGCTCAAGGGAGCAGTCTTCGCAGGAGAAACGTCTTCACACGATATCGATCCATCCATGCCAGCTTTCTTTGGTTTCTGTGGAGTGACCATTCCACTTTCAACGTCGGCTTGAGTGTTATTCGGCATCTTCTGGTTTTTGTTTGTGTGAGATGTCAGTCATGTGAAGACAAGAGTATGCGGAAGCGGTTTTAGGAGTAAAATTTTTGGCATCAGTTCGGTCATCCGTGCGAAAGTTTTAGTTAACGGAGATTTTAGATATATATGGTTCAATAAATCCCTTTGAGTCCTGGACCCACCGCAAATTTTGCGTTGCGGGCGACTGCAAGACGTTTGATAGATTCGACCAACTCGAAGGAGTGGTTAATTAAAAGGGGCAACCTTTCCTCCCCTGAATATTATTCAGATCATTATTTCGTGCGTGCAGAAATCCTACGTTACATTTTGCGTGAACCAAGTTATGTTTAACGAACACACTATTTAGCGCGCTTTTGATTGCGTCCACTGTGTCGAAAACCACAATTCGGGGCAGGTATGATAAATATGTGCGGATTTTTTTTGTGAGCGACAGTACAGATTCTACGCACGTCTACACAACCAAGGTGTCGCTTACAAATCTCACTTTCCGGATCAAAAATATATTTGAAATGGTC